AGGGGAGGGTTGTGGGTGGGAGGGAAGTCTTTGGGGGGGGAAGCCAATGTAATCCATAAGCTGTACTTTGGAAATCTATATTCATTAAATAAAAGTTAAAAAAATTATGAAGTAAATGGAGTGTTATATATACATACGATTATATTTATATAAATCTATATAATTTATATTTATATTCATAGATATAAATATTTATATTTATATACATATAAATATAGTATTTAAATTATAATATATTTAAATATTATATAATATTAAATATAATGTATTTAAATATAAATATAAGTATAAATGAAATAATATATAAATATTTATATATAAAGTCCTCATGGAATTACTGATACTTATTATATATATTATATTACATATATATAATTATCAGTAATGCCATGCTTCAGAAACTCAGATATTCAGTAGTTTCTTTGCTCAAGCAAAGATGAATGGAAAGCTTCACTTTTAGCAGTTGTAGAGGTGCAAGACCAGGCCTAGACACCCTACATCCTCCCCAGCTCCTCCCTCAGCCCTCATGGTGCTACTGCTCATTTCCTTGTGACCCTCAGAAGCTGCCCTGGTGCTCACTGTGGTTACAATTCACACTCAGAAGTGTTTTCCTCTGTCTCTGCACAATCTAGAGGCTGGTGCTGCAGTCTGCAGGGAGGCCAGGGTCAATGGCATGTACTGTACAAGAATCCCCAGGACAAGGCCCCATCTGTCTTAAGGAACTTCAAATCCCTATTGTATCAAAAGGATTTTCTCTGAAATTCCTTGTTATATTGTTTCCCTTTATTTTGGATTCACTTGCTTCTCTTTTGAAAATTTTTAAATTTTTTTTAACTTTTATTTAATGAATATAAATTTCCAAAGTACAGCTTATGGATTACAATTGGCTCCCCCACCATAACTTCCCTCCTACCCGCAACCCTTCCCTTTCCCTCTCCCTCCCCACTTCCATTCATATCAAGATTCATTTTCAATTTTCTTTATATACAAAAGATCAGTTTAGCATATATTAAGTAAAGATTTCAACAGTTTGCACCCACATAGAAACACAAAGTGAAAAATACTGTTTGAGTACTCGTTATAGCATTAAATCACAATGTACAGCACATTAAGGACAGAGATCCTACATGAGAAGTAAGTGCACAGTGACTCCTGTTGTTGACTTAACAAATTGACACTCTTGTTTATGGCATCAGTAATCACACTAGGCTCTTGTCATGAGTCGCCAAGGCTATGGAAGCCTTTTGAGTTCACCAACTCCGATCATATTTAGACAAGGTCGTAGTCAAAGTGGAAGTTCTCTCCTCCCTTCAGAGAAAGTTACCTCCTTCTTTGATGACCTGTTCCTGTTCTTTTCACTGAGATCTCACTCACGGAGATCTTTCATGTAGGGTTTGTTTTTTTTTTGGGGGGGGGGTTTGTTTGTTTGTTTGTTTGTTTTGCCAGAGTGTTTTCGCTTTCCATGCCTGTGATGCTCTCATGGGCTTTTCAGCCAGATCCGCATGCCTTAAGGGCTGATTCTGAGGCCAGAGTGCTGTTTAGGACAGCTGCCATTCTATGGGTCTGCTGTGTATCTCGCTTCCCATGTTGGATCATTCTCTCCCTTTTTTATTCTATCAGCTAGTATTTGCAGACACTAGTCTTGTTTATGTGCTTCTATTTGAAGTGCAGAGAGACACAGAGCATCACAGAGATCCCATTTGCTGGTGTATTCCCCAAGTACCTGCAACATCCAGGACTGACTATGTTGAAGTGTGAAGGCTGGAACTCCATTCATGTCTCCCACATGGATGGCAGGGATCCAAGTAATTAGGTCATCATCTTTGTCAACACTTGTCATGTGGGAGAGTAGAGGGGCCGAGAATCCAGGGTAGAGCAGGCAGGTCTGGAAAGTCAAGCGGTAGCAGCAGCTGGGATATGCATGGTGTTCATGGGCAGAGACAGGGATTATGCAATCTCTGACACAGATAGAAGGTAAAGGGGGCAGGTGGAGAGGTAGTGCAGGCTCCCCTGCATCTGTTTTATCCTCCAAGTCCTCAATTTGCCCTCCAGGTTCCTGGTGTTCTTTGGCTACTTCATGTTTTTCCTTGAGGGGGTCTACATCTGGGCAGCTGAAGAGGTGGGCACCACTCCCTGTGGTCTCAGCATCAGTGGCATGGTTGTTGGCAGAACAGCAGCCCTGGCACCCAGAGGACAGTGGAGTGGAGGACGACTCTGGGAAAAAAAAAACAACTAAAAGCTGCCCTCCTGCACCCCTGCACTGATATCCGCAGATCTGAGCACCCCCAGAACTCAGTGTGAAGGGCCCTGGAGAATAGCCTAAATCCTGCAGGAGGGGCACCACATCTCAGGGACGCTGTGAAAAGGCCTGGAGGAGAAAGCCTGGGGTCAGCGTAGACCCGCGCAGGAGTGGGTCTGAACCGGCCAGGTGGGGACAGCATCACAGCCCAGGGACCCAGGGGAGGAGAGCCTGCTGGGGCCCACAGAGAGCAGGGACAGTGCTGATTAAAACTTGGCCATTTAGAGCAGATTGTACGCATGCGGTCCCTGAAGAGAGAAACAGTCCTAGAGGAACAGCCAGAGTGCCTTCTTGCCCTAAGGCCTCATGCAGTCTGTGGAGGGAATGCTGGTGACTTCGCAATGGAACTGGTGGCAGGGAAAGGATTCCTGCAAGAAGGCGCAAGCCGGGAAGCGCGAGTCCGGTGTTGCCATCAACTGAGGGTGAGGCAGGCGTTGGCCCCGGCAGGACGGTTGCAGGCGTTTGGAGCTGCACGGGCTGCTGTGTGAGAACCATTTGGGGCCTGCGGGTCCAATCCGACCGAATAGTCTGGCCTGGGCACCATCTCTACAGGCTATTGATGCACTGCTAGGATGCCAGCTGGGCCCCAGAGACCACATATTGCTGGTGCTCTCCCTGGGTCTCTGAAGGCAGCGCCTGCAGCAAGCCTGGGAGGGGGCAACCCTGATCCCACCAGGCTTCTTGGAGTGTCCTGCTGTGCTTCTCCTGGAGACAAGGGCACTTCTCCGTGGCCACCGTGGCCCACAGCTGTCATCTACCTGCAAAGGCTTCCTAGCAGGTGTGTGGTGCCCAGAGCTGATTAGATGCTGCCAACACCATCTCCCTTCCTGGAAGGCGGGTTCTCTTCCCCTCTTTTTAGAAATTTAGTTTAAAAAATTAGACCCTGTCTTAGATCAGCCAATGGCAGTGGTCTTGCCAGTCTTTGAATGCTGTGTATCCACAGCAGGGGGTCTGAAAGTGGTGCTGCCTAATATTCTTGGGAATTACTCTGATTTTTTTCCTCATTGCTGTGCTGTAATCTGTAGGGTACCTTGCACATGGCATATCTCTGAGTACGTGATCTGCTTCCACCTAGGCAGAGGGCACAAAAGCGTGGTCCTAAGTGGCACAGGACACACACTGGGCTATGGTTTCCTGAAAAGATGCAGGACAGGGATCCCCAATCGTCATCCTTGCATCATCCCTCACAAACATGTGAAGTCTGTATTCTAGACCAGTTTTGGTTTATTTTGAACGAAACATTCTGGTGGAAATTTCCTCATAAATTAAAAGCTACTTTCTCTGACCTCCAGGAATTTGTCAGGAAAGGAAACACATCATCTCGTGAGTTATTAGTGTAGTCATGTATTGGATTCCAAGAAGACTTATACCTTTCAGTCATTGTGCCAATGTCAGCTGGGTGCTCCCCTTACTGTACACTATTGTGACCTGAATGCCACCTGAGATATCTATTGCTCAACAGAGCAAATGTCCTTTGGTGTCAGGACAAGGGAAACATGGATCATTGTTTCAGCATGACAAGAAGGATTGAGACAGTCCTCCCCCATGGCTTAATTTACTTGAACCTCGTTTCCTCGGTTTACTTCACTGGGGCTGATGTGTGTCCAGCATATCACTTGCAGAAGTTTCAAGACTAGGAATCTATAAAATCATTCAAATTTCTGTTTAGTTTTTAAAAATCTATTTACAATTATATCTGACATAATTCGTATATTACACAATATATTTTGGCCCTCTGCTCATAAAATTATCCCTTTATAGTCAAAAAATTTAGATGCAGGTTTTTATTTCAGATCCAAATTCTATTTGAAGACAGGAGAAATAAGCTCTTATATGCCACCTATAATTTCTTCAGAAGCAGAAATTATGGGCAGTTTCGCATTTTAATTCATTTAAATCATTTGAACAGAATTCAATAATATTTTGTTTGTGGAAAAGATCGTTAATTTTTAAAATCCTTTCCTATAGTAGTTCTGAAAAAGATTACATGTGATTTAAAAAATACAGTCATGGCCGGCGCTGTGGCTCACTTGGCTAATCCTCTGCCTGCAGCATCGGCACCCCAGGTTCTAGTCCTGGCTGGGGCACCAGATTCTGTCCCAGTTGCTCCTCTTCCAGTCTGTCTCTCTGCTGTGGCCATGGAAGGCAGTGGAAGATGGCCCAAGTGCTTGGGCCCTGCACTCGCATGGGAGACCAGGAGAAGCACCTGGTACCTGCCTTCAGATCGGCACGGTGCACCAGCCATTTAGGGGGGTGAACCAACGGAAAAAGGGAGACCTCTCTCTCTCTCTCTCTATCTCTCTCTCTCTCTCCCTCTCTCTCTAACTCTGCCTGTCAAAAAGAAAGAAAGAAAAAAATACAGTCATATTATTTCCATGGATTTTATCAAAGAAGAAAATTCATTAGACATATGAGAAATGTTGAGGTTTCAGGACAATAAAATGGGATTTGGACAATAATATTTTGTGAACTTTTACCTCAGGATTTTTCTGACCAAATGGAAGTGGAAGGCTCAGGTATGTCTTTGAGGGAATGTTCTCTTACTCAATTATTTTAAGCCAAAACTGGTAGAAATTGTTATTGTTAAGTAATTCAATGATAACTCAAACTGTGCATGGAATCTTTTGTAGACTTGCATGGGTATGCAGAATTCAATGTGGTTTTGTCCAAATGTTGATTTTATTTTACTGTTGCCTGTCAGGGTGGACGCTTCAGGTTGCTGGAAAACAAGAATTCACCCAGTCTTTTGGGAACTGCAGCCCACACACAACTGTGGTGGTCAGCTGTGCCCATCTTATGAGATCATCCTCAGAGGCACCTTTTTACATTCCTGGTGGGTATTTTATTTAATGTGCCTATTTGCCCTCATACCTCTTAACAAACAATGCTCCAATTTCAAGTAACCAAGCCCCACACAATTTACACTGGACAAAAGAATTATATTTTTTGCTTGTATTTTACTGCATCCAGAACCAATGAAATCACATTGGAGTGAAATCAAGGAGATGGGGTTCTTGTCACAGATCCAACAGAACATAATGATGTCCCCTTGGGAAGGTCTTACTAGTTTGAGGCCTATTTCTTTGTCTTTTGACAGGGTCATACTAGAAGACTCGAAATACTGTGGGCTTGTGAAAAGTTCATGGGCAATGAGTGCTATGAAAAAAAATACATGGATTTCAATATTTTCACACAAATCTAAACTTATAATGCAAAATTAATTAATCTGGAATGTGGAGTGTCAGAGAGAGAGGGAGAGAAAGAGAGAGATTGATTCCATCCACTTGTTCAATACTCAATTGCCTGCATCGGCTTGGGAGGGGAACTTAATCCAGATCTTCCCCATGGGTGGCTGGAACACAATATTTGAAATTGCCATTGCCTCTCAAGTTTGGTATTTTCAGGAAGCTAAAGGCAGGAACTAAAGGCAGGTATCACATCCATGTACTCCACCATGGGATATGGACATCTTTTTTTTTTTTTTTTTTTTTTTTTTTGACAGGCAGAGTGGACAGTGAGAGAGAGAGAGACAGAGAGAAAGGTCTTCCTTTTGCCGATGGTTGACCCTCCAATGGCCTCCGCGGCAGGCGCGCTGCAGCCGGCGCACTGCGCTGATCCAATGGCAGGAGCCAGGTGCTTATCCTGGTCTCCCATGGGGTGCAGGGGCCAAGGACTTGGGCTATCCTCCACTTCACTCCCTGGTCACAGCAGAGAGCTGGCCTGGAAGAGGGGCAACCGGGACAGAATCTGGTGCCCCGACCGGGACTAGAACCCGGTGTGCTGGCGCCGCAAGGCGGAGGATTAGCCTAGTGAGCTGCGGCGCCGGAGGGATATGGACATCTTAATCAGTGTCTTAACATCTTGATTCTATATCTACTCCTAAAATTATTTTAAATCTATTTTCTCAATCATTTTGAATTGTCCTTGTATATCTGAATTCTTTGTAGAAATACCTTAAATGCCATAGGTATTCTAAAATAGGAGGCCAATTACACATGGAACAGAGTAGCAGCTCTATCAATATGTTTTCAGAGTGTTCTCCATTTTCTAGATGATATGACCAAGATGCAGCAGGAGTATATGACTTGACCTGAAACTCCAGAGTAGAAGGAATTAAAAGTTCCTTCCCATCCTCAAGCTCTCTTTGTCAATGCATAGACTGCAGAGTATTAACCTGTTATGCATCGTAAAGTTTGAAAGGAGCTTAAACCTAAACTTGTGAATAAGCAACAAACACTTTGAAACTCTTGAGGTTTGTCACTTTTTGAATTACATTTATACCAAATAGTCATTTTCTAGAGAGTACCTTCAGCATGGCATCTTGTCATGTAAGAAGTGGACACCACAAGTTGGTGTAGGATTCAGCCTTCATTCTCAGAGTGGTGTTGAGCTCCTAGTGAAATGGCCCCTTATTTCCTCTCCTAGACAACAGGCTTCTTGGGGACCAGGATTACCTGTTTATGACTAATGGTGTCGCCTTGGACTTTTTGTGGAAGCGCAGAGGTTATTCACAAAATGAGATGTAAGCACATTAGAAAATCTGTATACAGATCACTTACCACCAACTTACAGATACACAGGAAAAAACATGCCCATTATTGAGGGTGCTAAATGTTCACCTCTGTTCTGTGGTACCAGTGCTTGACTCCAGGTATATTGTTTTTGCACTCTTTTATACACATCTTCCTTGGATCCATTCCTTGCTCCCAATAATGAGTTCAGGACTAATCCAAGGAGATCAGAGAGGAAGGTGGGACTAGGCTACAAGTCCTTCTTGGCTGATATGGCAAGATCATGGTGTGCTTTTCTGATGAAAGAATTCTGAAATGCACAGATCTCCTTCCTTTGAGGGTGTGGAGAAATCAGTGCCCCAGGAGGGGATCACACTGTTTCTGCTCCTGGATGGCCATTGTCAACTAAGGGTAAACAAGGTTGAAATGGTTTCTGATGTTTTACTGTTTAAAGGTGGGGTTTGTGAGCAGAGGAGGGTATGCTGAAGTGATCTTCTCTTATCCTTGGGTTTCCCTCCTGACAAGAGAGCTCCTAAGGCCACTCCAGGCTGTGTTTCTGGACTGACTACTCCTGGGGTGGGCTGGTGGCTCATGAGGAAACTTTGGGAAGAATTCCCTAGGCATGTTCAGCTTCCCTAATTCTGTTCTGTTCTTTGAAGCTGCACTTGGACTCCTGCCTGCAATCGTGTGTGTTACTACTTGGCAAATCTATGCAGTTCTGGAGATTGTTTGGGGGCTATTTTGTTCATTCAAAATGAAACTCTTATGTCATGGTCATCACCAATATTAAGACTATCGTAACATCCATTTTCTCTTTATTTATTATAATGCCCCAGCCCTAGGGCGTTGCAGGGGTTACTCTCTGAAAACCTTGACAGGATCCCAGCATTTGGTGCATTATCCAGGCATATTGAGGAATGAAATGAAAGGGACATATTTTAGGGAGAGAAATGCCCATATGGAGTGCATTGTGGGAAGGTGGCTTTGTGTATTGGTCTTTATTGTGCAGTGAGATACTTTAGCTGTGACAGTTTGCAAATACTGAGGTTTGGTCAGACAGGTATGTGCAGTAAATCCCTAGAGCCCTGGAGAAACTCTACTGTCTTATTTTCCTATGCTTTTCTCTTTCCTCATGTTTGATGTCACAGATTATATCAAACTTTTTAGCTCTGAACAATGCAGCCTTGCTCATGTACCTCTAAGGAGACCAAAAGTCTGAAATGCAGAGGTCATCAGGGCCACACTTCTAACAAATGCTCCGAGGGAGAATCTACTCCTTGCTTCTTGTAACTTGTGGAAGTTGCTGTCTTCCGTGACTGGGGCCCCAATCTCTGCCTTTGTCTCATGCCACTTTTTCCCTGAGTGTTCCTATCTTCTGATGTCTCAAATGCCTCTCTGTTATCCTCTACTAAAGACACTGATTGTTGTATTTAGGGCCTGTCAGAAAACAGAACCTTAAAACATCATCTCAGGATCCTTAACAGGAGAAGGCCTTGAGTCAAGGCATTTCAAGCCACCACTTTGGAGTCTTGAATCTCATACTGGATGACTGGTTCCATTCCTTGCTCTTCTGCTAGCTTTCCAGATTCCTATTATGCATCCTGTCCATCAGAGATGATGGTTCTAGGCTCCTGGATATGGACTAGCCTAGCCCTGTCCTTTGCAGGTATTTATGTAGGTGTACCCTGACTGCAGGACTTTCTTTTTCTCCCTCTCTCCCTCTCTCTCTCTCTCTCCCTCCCTCTGTTCCTCTCCCCTCTCACCCCTGGCACTCCTTCTCTATCTTTCACTCTGCCTTTCAAGTAGGTAGAAATATTTTGAAAGTTCCTTAACAATATATTGCAGAAATTTTATTTAAAAATTGTGTATTTTAAAGACAGATTTACATAGAAAGATGGAGATACAGAGAGAAAGAGGACTTCCATCTGATATTCTACTCCCCAAATGAGTGTTATATATTGAGTCCAGGCCAAAACAAGGATACAAGAATTCCATCCAGGTCTCATACATGGGTGGAAGGGGCCAAGTACTTGGGCCATCATCTGTGCTTTCCCAGGCACATTAGAAGGGAGTTAGATCAGGAGCAGTGCAGCCAGAACATGAACCAGTGTCTGATATGGGATGTGAAACTGCTATGCCACAACATTGCCCTAGAATGTGTATAGCACATGTCAGCATTCACATACGTGAGTAGCTATAGGACTGAGTAGTTTCTTTAGCCAGTAGAGCCAGGCTGACTGTGGATGTGCTAATGACCTATGAGAGCCAATCTTCCTCTTAAAGACTCCGTTCTACCTGGCTCTGTACCAGGACACAGAACATGGCCACTGTGGCCCAGTTCTGTAACCCCACACATCAGAGGCCATAGATGTTGTCCTGTGAGACAGGGCCCATCATCAATTCTGCCCTGCCTCTCTTCAGACATGTTTAAAATATCTGTTTCCAGTGAGCCTTGTCTTGTGCATGATATAAATGGAAACCGTGCTTCTGTCCACCCAGCTTTGATCTTCCAAGTCTGCTTAAGTCTCCATAGCATGTGGCTAAACCACCTGGTATTTCTTGGAGGATTGTTGTTTGCTTCCCCTCTCTGGTAGAATGCAGGCTCCACAGAGTCAGGAACTTTGCTTTCTTGTCATTGATGTCACTGTCTACAACATTACATAGCACATCCCGGATGCTCACCAGATACATTAAGTTGCTGACAGTAAGTGAACTGCCTTCCAAACCTATTGGGATCTTTCACAGGCTTTTCACACTACTCAAATGAAACCTGGGGCAGTCATTAGGCCCAGAAGCTCAGAAGCCCACATCCCATACATGAATACTTGAGGCTGATTCCTCACTCCGGCTCCTGAAACCAGCTTCCTGCTTATGCAGACCTTGAAGAGCAGCAGTGATCATTTAGGTAAAGGGGGCCTTGCTAAGTTGGGAGACATATATTGAATTCCTGGTATTCAGGTTCAGCCCATCCATGCCCCAGCCATTGTGAACATTTGGGAAATGAACCAGTGGATGGCACTCTCTGTATATTTGTTTCTGTTCTCTTTATTTATGCCTCTCTACCTTCCCACTAAATGTAAAGATTAACAAAAATAGAGCATATACTTTTGCCAAAATTATTGGTGTCCATTTTTCCAAGTCAGAAGTCCACAATAGACCTGGGTTCATTGCCGTTTCTGGGTGCACTTCTCTCTTCTCTCCCCTTTGCTCCAACCCCACTGACATCTCCTGTGGACCAGGAGATCAGGGTTTCCTCTCTGCTGCAGTCACTGTGGAGTTTCCCATAAGCTCACTGCCACTGCTGTGATGCCTTTGAAATTTTCCCTGTCACACAGTCACAGAAATGTTTGTGAGATCTACAGGCATGCTTCTCTAGTTTTGAAATATTGTCATGACTCCCATACTTACAGAAACATGGACAAAATACCCCTGACAAAGTGTGTGACTTCTTCACTCTTGGCCCTTGTCTCACCCTGAAGTTGCACCTTTCAGCTTCCATTTAACTTCTTAGCCCCACCCACCCATCTGTGTGCTTTCCACTGGCTGCCCCCTTTCTTCCTGCCCTAGTGTTTCACATGCTGTAGCTTAGACCCAGAAATAGCCCTTCTACACTTGATGGTTGTCTCCTCCTTTTCTAAGGTGTCATTCATGTTTCATATCCCCCAGAAATGATTCATGTGTCTTATTACCTACTCTATGGATCTTATCACTTATACCTCACAATCACTTATACCCCAGTTCCAATTGTGGGTGAGATTAGCTGTTTCATCCAAGACACAGTAAACTCTCATGTGCAAACAAAAATCTTCCAACTCTCCATCTTGAGAGACCAGCATAGAGTGTTGTGTGGCATTTTCATATCTTATATTTCACAGTGATGTGTTAGAAGCCTAAGGTAAGAGTTTTGCTTTTTTCTTTTCCCACCTGAACAGGGTTCTCCTGGGTTGTCTATGTCTAAGTAAAAGCTGTGCTTTGCATCATTTAATTGAGGGAGGATTAAGAACTATTGCAAGGTGTAAAATTGGGTGTAAATATTAGAAGTTGATCTCTTAAAGGTTTATAATAAAGCTAGATCAGTTATTGAAGATAGACATTTCCTGATATTTATAAGGAGCTGGATCTATCTCAGATATTGCAAAGCAGGCATGAACTCTCTTTCTTGGTTCCTCTAGATCATGTATCTGGATTCCATGCCAACTGTCTAAGAAGCAGCAGAAAGTGTGAGGACATATGACCTATGCCTCAATTGGAGAAAATTGCACAACCCAAAAGATGTTCAGACACTTTTTAAACATTGCGATCATAAACATTGCTGTTCTAACATACCAGAGAGGGTGTGGCCTCTGAAGAGGTCATAGAGCTGGAAAGAAAGCTTGGAAGGAAGAGACTCCAGGGCAGCCTTCCTCATGGCCCTGGAATCACAGAGTTCTTGATGTCAGCAGGTGCAGGTGTGGTGGGACACCACTTGCACATCCTACATCCTAGAAGACAGAAAATTGGCACTGAGTCTGGCCCAGATCATCCATAGCTCACCAATGTCAAATCTTCCACCACTGTTGAGTCAAGGAGCAAAGATGCAAAGGACATGGAACAAGCACAAAATTCCCATTTCCGATACCATCTGGGAAAATCTACAACCACCATGGGAAAAAGGCAAGGAGAGAGTACTCAGGGAACAGCAGGGGTATCCTGCCAGTCCCAAGCCTGTAGTAACACAGCAGAGATCTTTGATGAGTCAGGTCACCAGGCAAACCTGGGAGGGCTGGGGATCTCCTTGCTATCTCTCTACAGAGACTGTTTCTCTGCCTATGTGGTTTGTGGTTCTTACTGGGCTTATCTTACCCACACTCTTCAGCACACTCACACACATCACACAGATACACAGACAATGCACACAAAACCCAGTGAGGTTTTGTGGCCGTAGAGTAAGTCTGTTTTGTCTCATTGCACAGAATCATTTCTCTGTGAGTCATCATTGCCCATTCATAGGGGACCATCTATGGGAGGACATTTGGACCTTATTCAGATTCATGGTAGGAGAAAGAAAGGTGTTGGTGGTTCCTAGAAAGCCCAGGGAAGGTGAAGATGGTGCCCTGGGGACTGCTGACCAAGCCCATAGCAGACACAGTTGCTCTGACAACGAATCTCCAAACATACTTTTCATTTATGAATGATGCTGGGTCTTTTCAAATGAAAGGAGTCACCATGGCTGGGAGGACCTCTGATGTTTTTACTTAAAGCAAGACTAGAACTGTCTCCCTGGAAATGCCTGGTCCTGTCCTGCATTGCCACAATCTGGGCTTTAGAAGCTGGGCCTACACTGCTATTTTGGGGACCTCAAGTATTTTCCATTATAACAAGTGTACTGTGGTCCCCCATGGTACTGAGGAATAATGGACTCCATTCACAGGAATGGTTTTATTCCCTCCTTTGGTACCGCTTATGTTCTGCAGAGATATGCCCCAAGTGCCTGGCTTGAAGGTAGAGCAAAATATGTGTCCATACACAGGGAAAGTGCTGTGTTTTCAACTACAGTGGCTTTGTTGTGACCAAAAGAGCCCCAACTGCTAGGGTGGAAGGTGAAGGCAGTCAAGTCTTCCAACACAAGTTTCTTGGCCAACACAGTAGTTCTTCTAACTGTAGAAACTTTCTTTTTCCTTTCCAGCTGTGTTGTAGGTGCACTGAAAATCAATAGTACAGAGCTCTTCATCATGTGTATGACTCTATCCCTGCCCAAATAACCACCTGAGTTCTGAGCAAGTGACTGTCACATAGTGACCTTTGGAATTGTGTCCATACATAGGGTCAATGCTGGTATTTTCAACTGCAGTAGCTGTGGTATGGCTCACTCAGCCTCAATGTTAGGTTAGAATGTGGAGAAAGGTGTTCTAACATGTTTCTTGATCAAGGTCATAGATCCTCTACATGTAGGTTTTTGCTATCCAGGTGTGTTCATATGTACTGGTGGGAAGCTAAAACATGAAGATCTATGTGTATGAGTATAGTACCATCTTCTCTCTTAGCATGGCATTGTGTGGTGGTCACTTGAGCTGCCTGGAATGAGATGAACACTGAATGTAAATCCAAAATTAGGGGCAGTACAGCAGCCATGATGTTGCTAGATGAATCCAAAGCTCCCCAACAAAAATGAGGGCTAGGTATTACGTTCCTAAATTCATTGCACTCAAAGTGGTACTCTGGATGAACATTCAAATCCCAAAATTCCCTTTAAAATGAATTCTGCTAATTTCATTGTCACTACCAGCTCTAGATTGAAGTTGGAAAACAAAGAGATACTTGTCTTCTCAGTGCTGGGAATGCTGGGAACAATCCCTAAGCCAGAAGCAAGGGGCCATTCCGATTGGGAAACCTGGTCCGACTTTGATGTAACAAATGCAGATTGTGTACATGTCAAACTCATTCACATGATTGCATTGTGCAGGCACTAAGTGGCTGAGAAGCAGGAGGAGTTAGGTGAATTGCTTGTTTTGGGACCATTGGCCTCCCAATTAAGAAATAACAGCCATGGTGCATGCTATATGATGATGATTAAGGGTAGCTCCTGGGATAAAGGAATGGCTGAAAGTTTTAATTGGTCCTTAAACTGACTGGTCAGGCAAACTAGCATAGACTTGTGCTGAGGCAATGTTGCCATTGGGTGGTGTCCACAGCACCATGGAAAATGGGATGTAGTTCTCTGTGGAGACAGAGGTAGATGCCAGCCTTGGAAGGAAGAGTAGTGCCTCACCACAGCCTTGGAAGGAAGAGTAGCACCTCACCCTGGTGTTGCTCATGACAAGTGAGGACAGTGACCTTGCAGAGACCCTTCCTGCTGGGATGGAGCAGGCTGCAGCAGCTGTTATGGGAAAACCTATAAGTACAGGGGCCCTTGAAGAGTACCTCTGTGTTCCTGCCCTTCCAGGGTCTCCAGCACAGACTGAAGGGCAGTTTCTGGGCCAAAGGGATGACTGAAAAATTGGAAGGGCTGTGGGGAAGTCTTGGGGTAAGTGGACTGGTGGTGTCTTTGCAGGGTGCCTTGATCGACTCTGCCTTGGAGATAAGATTCCCACTCCTACTGGAGCTGGGAAGGGAGCTGAGGATGACAGCATCAGGAGGTAGGGTACTGTCCTTGTAAGTGACCTCAGAGATTAAGGGAGATTGAAAGGTTTAAGTGTGTAGATGTATTGGCTGCAACAGAAGAAATTACTGCTGTAGGAGGCATGGACTCTCATGGATACTGGCAGAAGGGCCTGCAAGAGGGATGAGAAAGAAAAGAGAAAGGTTTTAATACACATTGGATTCTGAGGTTTCTTTCTGTAGGAGGGAGGCTGAAAGGAGAAGGGTGCAAGGCTTGGATTGGGAGAGCTCAGAAATAGTAGGTGCTGCAAATCTGCATGAACGCAGAATACCCACCCTGAGACTATACCTGAAGGCAGGAAGAGAACTGGCAAGGACAGGCAGAGATAAAGACTTAGGGATGTGTGTTTTGTTTCCATACCAATATGTATGTGGGGGAGGGGCTGGGTAGAGAGGAAGAGTTTTGTAGGCAAAGATCATTCTGGCAAGCCAGTGGTGGTAGCAGAAGCTGATTCTTTCAGAGTGGAAGGGATTCTGCAGTGTTGTTCTCAACTGGGGAGAAAGAAGGGGACAGTGGAGAGGCACTGCAGTACACTCTGGTGCCTTTTACAACCCCATGGCCTCTGCTTGATTTTCAAAGACCCTGGCACTCTTGGAAACCCGATGCCATCTCTCCCTCAATAGCAATGCAAGGCAGTTTAGGAGGTGGGGGAAACTCACCTGTGTGTATCAGCAGGAATCTGATAGTAGTCAGTGGTGGCAGCAAGCCCAATCACCTGCAGAGGCAGATGAAGCTCCAAGTGGTGATTTGCTGCAGAACTATGTGCCTGAAGAACTTGGCTGTTTCTGCCTCAGTATTTCTACTGCTGATTCTTCGTGAGGCTGTGGAGAGCAGCCTAGGCTGGCTCAGTTTGGCATGCTGTTTCTATTTGCGCCTTTCTGATAAGATAGTCAGGACCTAAACAATGCAAATGCCTTGACCTGACACACCCCTGGAATTCCCTCCCACAGGGAATCAAGTTCTGTGAGATCCCTGGGCCTCTACATTGTGCAGTGGTTAGAAATGGTGGCAGTTTCCCAACAGAGGACCAAGACTTCCTCAGAATGAAGTTTAATCCCCTTGAGTTCACTGGTCATGGGTGCATCTTCTCTGGATAGAACAGTGCTCAGTTTCTCTTCCTCTTTTTTACCATGCCCTTCCCAGAGCTGTTCTTTGGGTCTCCCCTGAGAATTGAAGGGGCTGGGCCTAGGGTGTTGCCAGGTTTCCAGATCCTCCTCCTTGGTTTCTTCCTGAAGCATAGAAAAAAATGCACACCTGTGTCTGACTTTTAGGAAGTATTAAACTTTTGTCAGCCCAGTTCTTTTGACAGCACCCAGCCCGGGGACCTTCCTTGAGTAGCGGCTGCTGTATCCTATGAAAGTGGGGAGCCAGGGTCTGGAGCCCCAATTCCTTTCTCCACGGTCTGTGATTCCTGCAGGGAAAGGGTGGTGGTGCAGGCAGTGGGGATCAGCCCAGTGGGGTGGGCCAGTGTTGCATGGTTTCAGAGGGGCAGGAGTAATAAGGCTGTTAGAAGTGGCAGCTGCCCTAGGAAAGTGATTCTCTCCACATGCAGCAGGTTACCTGCAGATAGGGGCACAGCACCATCAGTTCCCAGATGGATGTCTGCCCTCAGCTTTCTGCAAGCCTCAGAGCTGGGTTGGTTTGTTGACTCATCCTAAGGCACTGGTGAGCAGCCTGATGACTTAGGGAGCCTCTATTGCTCTACATGGGCCTGCCCAACATGCATGGTCCTACAGCTGGACTCCAAGGCAGTGCTCTGAGGAGAGCCATGGGCCTCCTCCTTACAGATGTTGAATGAGTGTTGAGGAGGCCAGACTGCCCCTCCAGGAAGGGCAGTCTCTAGGGCCTCCAGCAGCCTGGGTGGGACTCTCTCTCACACAGAGGGGACCAGCTTTCTACTCTTCTCATTTTCCATCCCTCCACAGGGGTGCCCTTTGGCCCTCACCTCGGTCTCAGTAAAGCAGGAAAAAAGGGAGTTGGCTTGATCTGGTCTCCTCATAACTTTGGAGACAACATTCCTTGGAGAGCCCCAGGCCCATGCTGGTCAGTATCAAATGAACGACAAGGCCTAGGACTGTGCTACAAGGAAGGGAAGTATCCCTCAGCCTCCTGGTAGCCTTGGTGTGTTGTCCTCACGGTGAGGAGGCCTGTGTTCACCTCCCTCTCCACTTCCTTCCTGGAGCTTTTCTTTGGCTCCAACCTTGGTCTCTGTCAGAGATATGGGCAATGCCTATATCTGTCTCCTCAACATTGATGAAATGAGCTGGTTATGATCAGTTACATCCATGTTCCTGGCTGTTATCTGGGCCAAGCTCTGGAATTTGCCAGCCATTTTCTTTTCCTTGTACCTGTTTGATTTCTTTATAAGTAGCCCAAACTCCAAAAGGGATAATATAGCCAATTAAGGTGTAGGTTCTTATAGTCACAGCCCTGGCTAGGAGAGAGAAGGAAGGGTGGGGTGAGCCTGGTCAAGTGGGGTAGCATCAAATACCAGGAGTTCATGGTAAGATGCCATGACCAAGTTGAGTGTGCCTGAGATATGCAAAATGTCTATAAGTGGTCATAAGGCAAGAGTAAAGTATAGTGGAGAAGTTCTCGTCCTCTCCAACAGTGATTCATACACACTATTCAGCTGAGTGCTTGGGAAGTTGCATCATAGCAGATGATGAAGGGCACAGTGCAAGGGGGGTGCTCCTGAGGCCAGCAGGTATGTATAGAGTAGAAGGTGCTAAAGGATGTAGGACTGTAGGTGTTGAGTGCACAGGATTGCTTCACAAGAAGGATAGCATCCCTCTCCCACCAGGTGGCCCCACAGTGAGGGAGGCTCTGTTCACCTCTCCTCCCCCACTTCTCCCTTCCTGGAGTCTTCCTTTTGCCCCCACCTTGCTTTCAGCAAGTGAAAGTGATGGGATGAAACCTGGATTAGGCTCCTCAGCCTTGAAGACCCCAGCTTGCAAGGGTTCAGTTACCTCCATGCACCTGGCTTTTGCTTGTACCAAACTTCAGAATTTTCCAAAAGATTTTTCCCCCTTTTGGCCATCGTCATTGAGACCCAGGATACACTCTGAAGATCCTGTAGTCATAGCAATGGTTGGGGGAGTGAAGGAGGAGTGGGAGGATTCTAGTCATATTGGGCAGCATTGCAGGGCAGCAGAGCAATATGGTAGGTGTCATGACCAAGTTAATGCAAGAACTGCCCATGATGAGCCAAATGGGAGTGGTCACAAAGCAAGAGTGATGGATGGCAGAGAAGCTCTCACCCAGTCCTTTAGTGCATGAGTGATGCACTCACATGGTCATGCACTCAGTCTCATCACAAGAGGTGACAAGGACACAGAGTGAAGATAATGTGTCTTAAACCCAGCAGGGTGGGGTTCTGTAGAAGATGCTGAATGGCAAAAGACTAAGCCTGGTCATTGGCCCCAGCCTCACTTTCTGGTGCCTGGGAGATTACTGCTGTGATGTTGAGCCTTAGCTGGGACATTTTGAGGCATGTTGGGACATGAGGGGTGAGATCTGCCATGGGCAGATCTTTCAGCATGGGCTTAGGTTCTTCTGAAGGCTCCTCATCACCCTCCCTTCATAGCATTGCCCCCAGTGACTGTGTGGTGCTGATTCTCTTCCATGGACATTGGAGGGTAAAACCAGTGGCCAATAGCTGCCCAGTCCCCCCACCATGCTCAAGGGGAGTCCTCTTCTCTGCCCCCAGAGGAGCAGGGAAGGTGGAGCCTTAGCCAAAGACATAAGAAGACGCTTACAATTAAATGAGAGGGCATTTCAGTATGTGGATGATATTTTTGTTGCTATTAAAAGTATGGAAACTTTAGATGAAACAGAAACATAAATTTAAATTTCCTGGTGAGAAGATGTATAAGGTGTCTAATAAAATGTCCAAGTTTTCCCAATAAACTGTGAAATATTTCCACAATGGGTTGTCTCAGTGATGTTGGTAAAAGTAAAATAAAGCCCAGAATGCTTGGCAATGGAGAGCCAAATCACCAGAGATAGGTGTTGATCAGAGAAACAGGTTTGTTCAAGGGGCTACCATTCTTTGGGAGCAGGGAATAGGCATCTTCAGGCTCAAGTTGCTTTTCCCAATCTCATGTGAAGAGAAGAACTTTCAAAAGAGAAAGGGAGATGGGGAGGTTAGGAAGGATAATGAGTTCAGTTGATGGATTATCAGACTTGATCCCAGAGTCAGTTTGGATAATCATCCTGACATGATTAGGTGCAGAGTTTTTTGACACAAAGCTTGGCTGTTTCCAGCTGGTGGTTGTAAATTTTTGTCTGAGGTCTTCAGTTCTAGACATGGCCCTGCATTCAGTGCCCTGAATATTTAACCATTAATAATGTGTTGAACAAACATTGATTAGCCCAAGATCAGCCCTTAGCTTTTGTTCAAAAGAATGTGAAAAGAGAAAGGAAGATGTGTACATTACAATTACATTAAAAACAAAAAGACCTGGTGGAAGGGAAGGCTTGGCCGGAGTAGTGGTGCCTGTCAGCATAGAACCACTAAAACAATTACTTTGTCTGACTGGATTTTGCTACATTTAGATTCATGGCTGGGCCCCTCTATAAACCTTTATGGTTTTAAAATTTCATTTTATTTGAAAGGTAAATAGGGAGTGAGAGAGACATAGACAGAAACAAATAGTCCATTCCTGGCTTCACTCCTCAAATAAGATTAATCATAAATGTTGGGCCAAGCCAACTCCAGGAGCACATAATTCCACCCAGGTTCCTCATTTTTATGACTGTCAGGGGCCCAAATTATTGAGTCATTACTTGCTTACTTCTGGGGTATGCATTACCTAGAAGCTAAAGTCAGGATCAAAGCCAGGACTTGAACCCAACACTTGGATATGGTATGGGGGTATTCCAAGTGGCAGTTAACCACTGCACCAAACACCCAGTTTTCTATGAAGCTTTTAAAAATTTATATAAAGGGAGCATATTCATGTATTTCACATATACAGTTTTTAAAATTTTTATTATAAAGAACATATTTCATAGGTGAAATTCTTTTTTTTAAAGATTCCTTATTGAAAAGCAGAGTTACAGAGGTAGAGGCAGAGGCAGAAAGAAGTCTTCCATCTGCTGCTTTACTCTCCAAATAGCTGTGATGGCCAGAGCTGGGCCGATCTGAACCTTCTTCTGGGTCGGTCTCCCACATGGGTACAGGAGCCCAAGCACTTGGGCCATCTTGAACCGCCCTTCCAAGCCATAACAGAGAGCTGGATGGGAAGTGAAGCAGCAGACTCGAACCAGCACCCATACATGATACTGGCACTAGTAGATGGCAACTTTACCCACTATGCCACAGTGCCAGCCCCCTGTAAGTGCAATTCTAAGATGACCATATCCCCCTTCCTCCCCCTCTGCCTCCCTCAATCCCCCCCTTGCTTCCTTTTTTTTTAATTTTTGCAAAAACATAATTTCAATCCACTCTGTAATCAAGCCTTAATGTACTACTAACCATAATAGTCAACAAGTACAGTTTAAAGTTGAACCCAACACTTGGATGTTCCCTCCTTCCCTCACTCAATCCCACCCTCCCTCCTCTTTCCTTTCCTCTATGAAGCTTTAGAGAAAGGAGACAATAAACCATTGAATGGACTAAAGAGTTGAAGGAATTTCAGACTTCTAAGGGAATAGTAATAATGGCCTTTTATTTGAGACTCTCAGATTTCATACAGCATTTCACCCCTTTGTTCATGACTGAGGAGTCTCAGGTATCAGCCTGTTTCCTCACAGCCAGGCATAGTAACAAAGGAGTGGTTCCTCTGCCTTTGGGCAGTGGTAGCAGATTGAGACATCCTCCAGACCCAACCTACCACAGTGCATGCTCCACAATATTGACTGCTGCTTTTATAGTAAAAAGGAGGATATTGACTCACCTCTGGGAGATTGGAAAAAAAAATCAGGCCATTCTGTTTCACAACTCAAATGTTAAGCTGAAACTGGGGTTCACCTTGATACCTACCATAGTTCACCTTGATACATACAAGCAGTATGTGTACCAATGACTGTGTACAAATAATTGCACAATTTTATTGCAACAGACCTGAACTGACAGATCAACCCTTGGAAAACCAGACATGGAGATGTTTATAAGTGGAAAGAGCTTCATGGTTTAAGGCCACTGGGGCTCTGCTTGCATACACAGTGGCAACTCATCCAGAGGTCCTGGAAACAGAAGCCCTAGCCTGAGTTACCTCTACTGAAAATACACAAGTAATTTCCCTCACGTATGCCCTGCACATAGGCCAGGGAGAAAAGATAACAGTTTGTACTTATCCAAAATATCACTCTTTTGTGAGACATCCTCATGGAATAATATAAAAGGAAAGAGGAATATTGACAATAGGGAAGAAGGAATTTAAGCACACTATAGGGATCTAGGATCTGTTAGATGCAGCAATGGACCCTGTACAACTAGCCACAGAGCCTTGCTCTAGCCATCAGAAGACAGACAACCTGGTAGCAAAGGGAAACTCTAAGGCCAACTAACTGGCAAAACAGGCAGCAAAGACTAAGACTCCAACAACTCTAATTTAATTATCCTTTATATCAGACATAGATTGGCCAAAAAGTACACTCAAATCTTCACCAGAAGATCTACAAAGGGCTCACGAATGGAGATTTGATAAAAGACCAGCATAGTCCCAGGTTGCCAAAATTAGGCACAGCAAAGAAGGAGCCATGGTGATTCCTGAACATCTTATGGAGAGGCACTGAGCACATCCATCAGAGTACTGACTGTGGCAGGAATGCGATTTTACAGTAGATAAGGAATTATATTTCTGAGACAAATATGCAAAGAACAACTCAAAAGGCAATGCAAAACTGCAAAATATGTGCTAAAAACAAGCCTAAATGGGTCCACCCCCATATTAAAAAGCATCTCTGCCCAAGAATCAGGCCCCAGTGAAGATTAGCAAGTAGACCTTACCATGACACCAAATGTCACAGGGGCATCAGGGTCTGCTGATGTCTGCACACTGTCTCAGCATGGGTAGAAACCTTTCCTTGCAGCTCAGGTGACATGGGCAGGCATACAGGTTAAAATTCATTAGGATTGTGAGCTGGAAGACCACGCCTTAACCCCGCCCCTGTGTGACCTCATGCCCCTACCTGGCCACACCTGGGTGCCCACCAGCCAATCAGGTTGATTAACCACTCCCCTTTGGAAGTGGGTTAAAAGCCTCTGGCATGGTGTGTCCCGCCCTTCTTCTCTCTTCTTCGCCCTGGCCTCTTGCCAGGAGGGGGCTTGCTGTAGCCCTGCACCCCAGGGCACGTGGCCTTTGGGCCACCCACCCTAGGCTTCCTGGCCTAGATGCTCCTCCACATGGCTGGTTCCTGGTGCTCGGTATGAACCCAGATTTACCCCTCTCTCTTAGATAAAGCTCTCTCTCTCCTATGATTTCTCTCACTAAATAAAAGCCTAAAATGTACTATGCTTCCTCATTTATTGATGCTGGTATTTAGAATTCTTCTCTAAATATTAGGCAAGAACCCTCTCAAGCTTATTAATATTGGAGATTTATTAGTAAGCATTTGGTGATATTGTATGGCACCCCAAATTTCAATAGCCTCTGTGGCACCCAGATGGGACTTCTGGGGAACTTTAAGGGGCTACCTTTTCGTATAGATTTTAGGGGTCATCTCCGATATCTCAGGCACGGCTTCAGGGGCCTTGAAGCTTTCACTGAGAGACTTCACTCCTGGGCTTGGATTGCCCTTCTCCATGCAAAGTGATGATAATGGAGGATAATCTGTTGCCCAGTTGATTGTGGAGGTCCCTGGAGTGTGGAGATGATTATGGAGACTCTATGCTTGCTGCAGACACCAATCAAGATGGAAGACTGAGAAAACTAATCACATCTCAAGGACAACATTCAAAAATATATGTCAGGAGTCTAACTTGACTAGGAATATGGGTCATTTTTCCATCTTCCTAATGGAGTATCTATTTAAATCTTTGCCTATTTTTATTGGGCTATTACTGACTTGTATATGACTTGTATATATTTCAAATGAAGGCCATTAGTCTGAATTTCAATAGTACCCAAAATCCACTGCTAAATTGTGCTTGACCACTTACACAGTTATTTGATGAAAATATCAGAAGATTTTTTTCATTCACTGAATATTTATTGAATAGTTTCTAAGTGTGAGATATTCTGATAAGACCTTGTAAAATGATTAAAATTCATGCCTTTAAACCTTGAACACCCACACCAATCCACACACACACACAAAAACACACAAACACAACATTAACAAATGATATAGGAACAATGAGAGGGAGTAGAATTGTTCCTGAGTGCAGAGTTCAGTGAAAACTTTGAGAGGAGATGACATCTGAGATGAGCCGTTAAGTATTAAGAAAAGTATGCCCACACAGAGAAACTGTACAAATAAAGTAAGGTTTTTATTAAAAGAAATTATGTTAACTAAGTAATTCTTTTTAAAAAAATTTTAACTCAAACATTTTAAACCATTATAGGATGCATCAGTGTAGGACCTTGAGATCTTCTAGGTACAGTCTTGCAGACAAAAGTAGCTAATAGCCTGTGTTTCCATAAAGCAAGATACTTCTATAGTCCATAGGAAAAGTATAAGCTATCTGGCTTCTGGATTATTGGCTGGTAGCTAGTAGTGTTCAATACACTATATGTGGTATTAAAGGAATAAATGTTTAATTAAATCAACTAAATAAATGAATTCTTTGGATTACCAAATGGATTTTACTATAACACTGTGTCTCTGGCAGCAGCTAGCTCTCCAGTGATCCCTATTATAAGTAAGACAGGGTCTCAAGGGGTTTCTCTGCTGATCAGTACATTTCTTTTTTAAGATTGATTTATTCATTTGGAAGTCAGAGGAGGGAGGGAGGGAGGGAGGGGGAGAGGGAAA